GATGGTGGACGGAGCGGGTGCCGTGGCGATAGGGTTGACGAGCGTGTGGACGGCGATTTTATGCCCCGTGGTCGCTACGTTTTGAAGCGGTTGAGACACGGGGGTAGGCGAGATGACAGTATTGCATCTCGTGTACGCAGACGTCGTATCCACATTGCGATCCACACGGGGGCACGTGACATGCGGCAGGACCCGGTTGCCGTGTCAGAGGACGAGATGGGAGATCCTTCCAACGAGACCCAGCGCGACCCGGTTCATGCAGAGGAGCTAGCCTCGAACACTGATGTGATAGTGACGGAGGAGGATACAGGGTTCAGGATCACTCATCCCCGGTTGCCAGCGCCGGTTGTTGGCACAGAGGAGGAGACGGAGTTCGGAGGACCCGGTCCACTTCGCCAGGCGTAGACTCGGTGCATTCCAGCAGGCGCCCCAGTCCACTCCACAGGAGCAGGTTTGGAGGACGGCGAGGCATGACGTGAGCCGCCTCCTCACACGAGTGACGGCGGTCTAGAGGAGGGAGAGGTTGCACCCACTCCCACTTGTGGAAAGGACGGTGAGGACGAACGTCCTCCGACGGACCACCACGTCGGCCTCGACTGCCCGCCCGACAGTCTTCCGCCCACCGACGAGATATTCACCATGGATTCCGCCTTGGCATCTCTGCCCGATATATCGCTACTGATATCTCCCACTTTGCCGGTTGTGGCACCACCGGAGCCTGTTAGACGAGATGACGCGCGTCGTGATAGAGGGTTCGACGAGTTCGGCGGCGACACGATACTGCATCCTCCAGAGTCCGGCACTCCCGCCATTTTTCATGTCGGTGCACCGTGGGCGGTGGAGCAGGGGTTGGCGGAGGAGGTAGCACGGAACCATCGTGGTGGACCGCACGTCGCAGCTCAACGTAGTTTGGAAGGTTCACTAAAGGCAGCGTCTGGAGATTTTTTGGCGCAGGGGGGTCATGGTTCGCAGCTGTTATCGGAAGGCGTGTCATTAGTCCATCCACCAGAGGAGGGCCTGCAGCAAGAGCCACATCGAGGGCCAGCGGAGACTTTAGAGGCGAGGCCTCCCGGAGTTATCCGCTCGGACGGAGGCGAGGGCGTGAGCGAGGATACAGCGCAGCCAGGGAGCGCAGATGGTGGACGGTCCTTTAGGGGGGGCATCGAGCGTAGAGGGTCATCGACCGCACACCCCAGCATTGTTAGGCCCAGCACACATGACGTTGGAAACGGGCACACAGATGAGCCTCGACCGCATTTGACGGGGATGCGTGACATTATGTGTCCACCACCCTCACGCCCCTCTGCCGCTGATCCTGCCGCCCACGGGCAGGCCGCGCCGAGCGCATTGCCTACGAGGTCTTTCTACGACAGTGCGGGCATGGACCGGAGGGCGGGTGATATCGGACAGACATCAGCATATGGACCGGCAGATGTGCCCGCGGGGGCGCGATCGATCGGCAACGTCGATGGCACTTGTCATGATTCCATGAGAGCTTACGAGGAGCAACATGGGAGGCCTATACGGGCCAAGACGAGCGATGTCAACGACACCAGGACGGCAACTGCGAGGCTGTCACGGGTGAGGAAGAAGGGAACAGGTGTGTCGATTCCGTATCACCGGCGCCGCCTGCATCCTTTTTTCCGCAACAAGGACAAGACCAGACAGATACCAGCTGCCACAGATGGACAGGGGGGGGTGGAGGGAGGTGACAGAGTGGACGAAGCAGGTCGAGGTGAGAAGAGACGAGGCGGCACGATCATCCTCCACGACGACAGCTCCACAGCCGCTGAGGG